TTTTGCGGGTAGATGCAGAGAAATTTATAAATAATCTGTCTAGCATAACTTTAACCACCATCAAACATGATCTTCTCAGGGAAGAGTAAAACTTCAATTTGCACTGTAAGCCACTCAAACCGCATGATGCGATTGCTAGAATTGAACCAGCACTATCTAGTCGATGCAAAAAAGCGACAGACGCTCTCCACGATTCAGAATGGCCATAAAACGTCAACGCCCAGCCAGAAAGAACATAAATAAACAGCATCGGTAAAAACTGCCCGAATGTGGTACAGACATGACAATGACGGCAGTTATTGGGAGCTAATAAACGAAAGATATTTGTTTAAAATGTAATTGCACGCTACACTACTCATTAGTAGCTAAATGGTTTCACATGCCCGGTTGGCTTCGATTGAGAATTAGCAAACTGCGCCAAAAGGACGAACGTGGAAAATACATTTACCATGGATTATGTTCGGACCGGGACAAGAAAGTTTTGGTCAAAACCACAAAACCGACTTATCCGGATCGGTATGGGCATATAATGTCAAAATCACCAAAAGTTTTGAGATGTTCAGTCGACAAGAAATCTACCGGTAATTGATTCCCTCTTCTAAATGAGCAATGCCAAAACCGTAAGACCAACAGATTTGATACAAAAGCGGTCATTTAAACGACGATTGAACGAAGGGAAACTCGTTTGACAGAACATAACCGATTAGATTCTGTTGTTAGCGAACACTATGTGCTGTACAATCAAAATGTGTATCGGGAATAATAAAACTAGACAATATTACTAACGTGTCTCGAATTTCATCATCCCATGGAGTCTCGAATAACCCGGACAAGTCAGGTGGGCTTAACCTGCAAAGCAGCTGTCCTAATAGCTATCAGATAACGCAGATTACACTTGCTCATACCCGGTTTCAAGGACGTATCTGGCAGTTGGCGTGAATGGACGAGAAGCTTTGGTGCACAAGGTGTTTTGCTACTCGACGAGAGTCATGAGCTTTTTCGGGAATTCACACCCGATCTCTTCAGTTGGAGGCAGATGGCGAGAATTGGATAAGTGATACAATAGGAATTCTCGAAAGGAACTTACAAATGGCAAATGCACAACAGCATGGTGTTGCAGAATTTACTTTTGGAAAGCTTTCGCTATATTTCTTCATGTGCATGCCCCAGTAAATATATATATGTATATATATATATATATAAAGAAAACTAAAAAGTGACAGTTACGGTGCACGTGCGGTTGGTGTTATCTTCGTCCATCCTTTTACCAAGATAGGGTTAGAGTTGTAAATAACTCTTTCTGCTTGCACTGTTCAGGCTTCCATCGTTTTGTAGAAATCGCCCCTACAAACTGGAGCAACCCAGCGTTTTGCGTGCCGGAAACACCTATGAATGCTGTGGTCACGTTCATTTGATGTCCAGTCTCTAACAAGTGACGGACGATCTTTGACTCCGGTGCGCGGCTTTGTTTTGACCTGTAACCTTGGTCATTCGGGTGTGATTGCACCATCTTTTAACTTTATCCGTTAGGATACCCATCGTGGGGAGTGGCTCAGTGATAGGTGGGCGAGACACCCTCAGAAACTAATGTGTCAAAACTGTGATCGGGGAAGAAATGCCGGAGATCCATTACCTCAACAACTCAGGACGTCCTTGCGAAATAAAGAACTGAAAATAACTTGAATGCGGCCTTGGTGACAGAAGGCCCCCCCATCGGAACCGGTGGATAAGGTTTTGCTTTTATGCATTGGCGACCGGTAGTAGCAGATTCTATCTCAACCATTCAGGAAAGCTTATAACGATTTTGGCCTGAAATTAAAAAAAATTCTAAAATAAAATAATGATGAAGATTTTCACATGATTTATTAGGCCTCTTCGGCACCTGATCAAGGTTTTTGTCCCACCAACATCCTACTTACGTACGGAAGATCTATTGAAATCTTCAAACGGTAGTTGAAAAATATCTTTAGTGGATGTCAGCTTAAATTCAAGGTCCTGATTCCCTGAAGTGTTGCAGAACTAAGAGTTACGTCATTACGTGTCTCATTTTTCTCTCTGTCCACAGAAAAAAAGTTTGACGTAACCGGCTTTACACGATGACCTTTCTTTTCTGGCTGATCGATCAACTGATACGGTAATTTCCCTATCCACTATGCATCAGAAAAAGTGGAGAAATCTTGTGATTTATTTCGACAGTGCACGTTTGGATTAGCCCATTCGGTTTCTCACAGACACCAAGCTCTATTGACAATGATCGGTGAGGGTTTCACTCCAATGCGAGATCGTTAATTCCCCACTATTCAAATGCATTTTAAATGCAGTGAAAATGTTTATTTATGTTTGCGCATATCATTTTCAAATAACAATCGTTGCATTGCAAACGATGACGAATAGGTAGCCTGGCTACCCGAAGGCGAAAGGAGTTTATACTACTTCTTGGCCAAGGTGTGATTGTGACTAAAGCGTGTTTCAAAATACGCGTCATTGTTTGTTCGACGTCACCATGGCAGCCTAAAACGATTCACACTGGTTAAGGACAATGAGTACAGGTCACACGTGATTGGTCGTGGCCACGGTTGTCCTCCGTTGCTATGGTATCACGTTCAAGAGTGCTGCATTACGTATTCAACTAGCTAAAATTGTTAACGTGAAATTGTAACTACCATGGATATTTTGACGGAGAAGTAAGTATCATCGATTTTGATCCATTTTTTATTTTCTGAACTGCAATTAAATGATGGAGAAAATTTTCCTTCATTTATTTTATCAAATCCGAAAGAATACATAAGTCGCGAGATGTTAACCTTTAGTTTAATCTTCTCAATCGCTAACGCAAAATAAACAAACACATTTATAGCACATTGAACGGACATGCACAGTTAGACAGAGACTATTGAAATTAAAAACTTAGGTCAATTCCACAGCAAGTGAACTGATTGGATCAACAACTTTCGGACATACAGAACGGGATTATGTAATCAGATTAGCAACGCCTGACTTATTGCCAACAGTTTTTCATTGCAGTTACGTAACAGCAGTTTTAAAGAGGAAGTGGGATCAATTATGTGTTTTGCAATTGATGACCCCGGGTTACATGTGACCGCCTGATTACTGGGTGTGGGTCGTGTCATCGACTTCACCAACCGCTTTGGAATGTGTTCGGCCATCCGCTGTGATAATTAACGATTGGTTCTGCGTGTGTATGCGTCAACGCAACTGCAGGTGAACTAGTATGGAGTGAGTGTGACACAGAACTGGCTTGATAACCATGTACACGTTTGTCCAAATCGATTCCACGATTTGAGGTAATAGGTTGGAGTTAAGCAGCTGGGAATGTGCAACTGAGAGCTGACTCTAACTTTTGACGCACATCATTCAGAATGTGATCGCCTTTAAAAGGTAGTTTGATGTAAACGGCTTTCTGGGGAAGAGTTGGGGATGGATTACTCTTTTGACGTATGTCTTCTTCCGGTCTTGATACGATAGATGAAAGGGACCCGGTGTTTCAAATTTATGTATTTATTTTATCATGGATTGTAAAAACGAAACTGAAAACACTGGGTCCTTCTTCCCCAATGAATCAAGACCGGAAGAAGAAACACATCGAGAGATGTTCACGTCTTATTTGATACTGCTTTCATTTTGTTTAAATGACTGTCCCTGGTCATGATCGCTGAGCCAGAACCCCCTCCCGTTAGAATTGAAGAACCTGAGATCCGTCATACGTTCCAGTTCTCGGATAGTAGTGTAGTCTTTGGGAGTAAGACGACAGTATTGAAACCAACCGGTATTTTCTGACGACCTGGATCAAGGTCCTGCTGTTGTTGATCGTAGAAGTTTTCAATCTGAGCTTGTGTGTGGAAATTGTCATCCACCTTTTCGGTGGAATGCGAAATTTCATCTCTCCCATCCCATCCCATCGTACTGATAGAACATCATTCTGTGTAGTGTCTGAGTACGGTGCACGTAGGACGGTGTGTATCCTCGGACGACTGCACGGGGGAACGCAGATGAACACAGATGCTGTGGTATGGCATCGAGCAGTTTTTCAGTTGTCTTTTGAAGAGTTAGTTTTGAAATCTTTTGTTTTCCTTAAAGTTCAATTCAACGCATCAAATTGAGACCACAATGACGAGAAACGAATCGTTATTTTGATTTAAAAATAACCGTTTTCATTACCTTGAGTAAGGCTTTCATTGGTGATTTCGTAGTCTGTACTATGTTAACTCTATTCATATATATATATATATATATATATATATATATATATATATATATCAAATCTCCTTCATGAGCATTTTGAGAGATGGTTTTCTATATTATTTTACTTCGGCAAGTAATTTTTAAAATCGTTTTTACTTTTTGAATAGGACAAACATATTTGTTTCCGCAACTTTGCTTTCGGGCAAGCAAACAATAATCAGTGCTATT